CTATAGTTTTTATGTCTGTTTATTTATGTCTTTATTTATTCATTTTTGACATCTTCATTTTATTTATTTATTAATTTATTAACTAATTAATTTATTTATTTATTGTTACCAGGGATCGAACTTGGGCCCTTGTGCTTGCAGGGCAGGCGGTGGAACCACTGAGCTAAATCCCCAGCCCAACATCTTTGTTTTAAAAGACAGATTTATGGTCTTCTATTACTATTTCATTTTTAAATTTTTCAATTTTCTTTCCCTTTTTTTTTTTTTTGTTTTTTATCCAGGGTCTCACTATGTAGTTTAGGCTGGTCTTGAACTTGCAGCAATCCTCCAGCCTCTGCTTCCCAAATGCTGAGATTACAGGAATGTGCTACTACAACCAGCTTTAAATTTTTCTTGCTTAGGTTTTTGTAAGTATGAATTTACCCCTTACTTTTTGAAACTCCCCATAATTCATTGTACCTCTAATTTCTCATTGTACACAAAAAGTAAACATCCATATATGTCTCAAATCAGATGCATAGATATCTGTAATCAGATGCATAGAAGATATAGTAGTATCTTATCTTCATTATGTATTCTTTGCATAATTTTTATAATGTGAATCTTTTATTCTCCTTAATGATTCATAATTTAAGTTTAACTTATGCTTTATTTTTGTTCATGATTACATCATACATTTCAGCTATTCATATATTTATTTTAAAGTTTCAGCTTATTATTTATTTGAATCAATTCACATGAAGGAAGAATAATTACATCTTGCCTTTGTTTGAGGAATTCTTCCACTCTGTTTTCCTCCGTTTTCTACCAATACATTCAAATAAACATCTACATAGGGGAGAGTTCAATAATTTTATTTTCAGGTAAATAAATTTAAGGATAAAATGTGCAAATGACTTGCATACTGGATATGCCACTTGTTATTGTTTGCCGTTCAAAACTCAGAAATCATGAAAAGTTGGAACACAATTCTCAACTGTAGTGTTGAAAATGTAAAAGTCCATGGGTACTTTTCAAATCCTTTTATAAACTGTTCTTCTAATGACTTTACAGCTAAAAATTTGGAATCAAGACATTACTAAAAGAGTACACTAAGCAGTAGTCTCTTAAAACTTCAGTAAGTTCTTAGGTCCAGAGTTCTCTAATGCATAATGTTATATTGCTCACACATTTCTTAATTTCACTGCCCTTTAACAAAGTTAGTATAACTAACTTTGTTAGTTTCTCAAAGGAACAGCTAGATTGTTCCTACTAAACTTGCACATACAGGTGTGTATTAGCATGCAACTTGACAGGGACAGCCATAGTTTAGGAGCAGCCTAACAATAACTTCAGTAGAAAATAGGAATTTAAAATGTTTCAAATATTTTCGATGCTTGACTATGACTCCAAATTTTTATTTCCCTCTGCCTCACATTTAGAATACAAAAAGTACATTCTCCAATGCTCATTAACCTGTGGAATTTTGAATTGACCTACAAGAGAATCAAATCCTCTGTTATGCCTATATTCCATTTAAAAAAAAATCTGTGTTCTACAATAAGCAATAGTACATCATTTTGTATGTTAAAAGCGGCTTTGAAATTCTGCACACATAGATCTGGAACTGCATCATTTGTAAGTGTGTTTTGAGACTCTTAACAGGTGCACATTTGGCAAATGATTTTCGTCTTTTTTTTTCTCTTCCTGCTGCTGCTTCTACTGGTTGATCTCTCTCTGAGCACCAAGACCTAGTGCTGGCTGGGACCTAGCTTTCTACATTTTATCTTTTGAAATAATTTTAATTAAGTTACTACTTTTTATTTGTAATTTAAATTATTTTTATTTTAAATTATAGTGTATTGTTGGGGTTAGGTTTTGTACCAGTTTCAGTCTTTTCCATTTAGTAGACAAATCTGTTAATTCATTTGCACCATTAAACATTTTCTTAAGACTATAAGGCAAGGCTTTCCAAGAGTTACTTAAATTTCTTAGAAAAAAAAGGCTTTTATTGAGCTAAATCCCTGGCCCACTTTTGGAATTATTCTGTGCTTAATTCTTGCATGGCATGCTAATATTATAATTTATGTTGAATAATACTTTCCAATGTCCCCTTATTTATTCATTTATTCTTTGATTGCTTATATTCATGCTTCAGTCTTCCCCTTTAGCCAAAATTAGCACAGGTAGCTTCTCTTTGAGTATTTCATTGTATACTTGAAAACTGCTGAAATCTCTTTAGAAATTGACCTGGAGAGCTGAATGAAATAGCTCTCCAGCATTTTATTGTATAAAAAGCTCAACATTTTATTAGAGTACAGGTTCTCAAGTAGGTATTAAGGATCCACTGGATTTCTGTTGGATCTGTTGTGACTTTGCCTTTTTAATTCCTTATTGCATGGATCTGAGCCTTTTCTTTCCTTTTATTGATAAGGTTAGCTAAGAGTTTATCAATTTTATTTATTCTTTCGAAAAACCAACTATTTGATTCATTTTTTTTTGTATCATTTTCTTAGTTTCCATTGCATTGATTTTCTGCTCTAATCTTTGTAATTTCCTCTTGTGTTCGAGCTTTGGGTTTTTTTTTTTTGCTCTTGTTTTTCTAGTATTCTAAGATTCATCATTAGGTTGTTTATTTGAGCTTTTTGTTTATTTTTGTGGGGTGGAACACTATAGATGTCTATTAAGTCCATGTGTTCAAACGCTTGGTTGAGTTCTCGTATTTTGTTGTTGATTTTCTGCCTAGATGATCTGTCTATTTGTGATAGTGGGGTATTTAGATCCACCACTACAATTGTATTAATGCTTATTTGGTTTTTCATGTTACTTAATATTTATTTTGTATAGTTGGGGGCATTAATATTTGGTTCCATTAGACCCAGCCATCCCTCTGCTGGGTATCTTTTCAAAAGAATTAAAAGAATCATACCACAGTGATATATGCGCACCCATGTTTATAGCGGCACAGTTTGTAATAGCTAAAACTTGGAAAGAGTCCATTTGCCCATCAGTGGGAAACTGGATAAAGAAGATGTGGTTTTTCTATAAAATGGAATACTACTCAGCCACAAAAAATGAGAAATTAGATTCATTCACAGGAAAATGGATACATATTGAGGATGTACTCCTAAGTGAAATAAATAAGTCACACATGTGTAAATACCTAATAGTTGCTCTGGTGTGAAAAACTATAATAGTACATAAGATCCTAATGATATAATTGACAATATGAAATAGGAAGAAAGGGGCTAAAGTTGTAGGGAAAGTGGGAAGGGTAGGGGAAAGCTAATAAGGGAAAAGAAAAACATATGAGAAAATGAAAAAATGGAAATGAAGTGTTTGTAAAGGGGGAGGGGAGGAGTGGCTGAAGAGAGGGCAGGGACAAGGGGAAAAAATAAGAACCAAGGCCTGTCATGTAGAGGTACAAGATCCCAATAATGAATGTAACTGTACTGTATACCTAAAATGTACCAATAAACTCAATGAGGAAAAACAAAAAACTCAACAAGTCACAGGTGTAAATGAAGCACGAGACAAAGCTTAGGGTCATGGGCAGCACCAAGTGGGAACTTCATTTTTGTTCAGTGTCTCTGTATTTGTTGGGCCCACAGAACCAGAGACCCACATTCCATATCTGGCTTCCACTACAGGCAGAACTATTGCTTGTGTCAATATGCATCAGCTTCTGTCAGGCATGATGGGAGAGTGTTCTGTCTCATGGAGTTCAAGGGTCGTGATCTTTAGGATTTGGAATTATCTCTGTTCATTAATAACCCTTTACTGAGGGTCACCAATGCCAGAAGGAATTTTCCACAAAGTTACCAAGTTAGTGCCTCTTCAGGCTGGGGGTGTTTTTCCAGTCTCTGCTTATCTCCAAATGGGACACTGTCAGTTTTGTGTGGAGAAGAACCAACTCTTCTCTCACAACCCCAGACACCCTGTTTACACCTCCACCCTTATACCTTGAGATGAAGGTGAGTCAGATGTCCTTATTAAGAAATCTGAGCAACCACTATTAACTCTAGCACTTTAGCTAAGTACTGTTTACTGAATGCTTGGATAAAAATACTTCATTTATTTTGAATTATCTGTTGCACAGGTCTGAATAATTATATTGTTCTTAAATTCCTTCTGCCAGCTGGTTGCCTAAGAAGGGCATATGATTCATTCTGGTAAATCCCTTAAGGGTAAATCCCTTTTTATCAGACTTGCCTCTGATTCTGAAGCAGGCTTGCCTGACTTAGTGAACCTCGTCTATGTCTCTACAATGGGGAACTGCTACAGGAGATAAAGCTGAGCTTGACCAAAATTTAACACTTCCAGTCCATCACTAATATGCCATGATCCAAAGAGGATGGGGATAATATTATCATGCCACGTGCAGCACAGTGTTTATAACATGTCTTAAAGCAATAAATGAGATGCTATATGAAGAAAACATGCTGAGAATGCAAATCAGCCTATAATAGAAAACTCATGTTATTTTTTCCTTCCTGAAGTGCAGAGGAGTGAAAGTTTCCTTCTCACAGGTTTCACCCCTTTGAATAAGATAATTGTTTTTTGCTAAAAGTGAAGTAAATAGCCAGTCTGTTCCAGTCTGCCATTTATCATTCATTCATTCAGTGCAACATTCCACAAGGCCAGCCCTTATATTTGAGTAGCAGAGACAGGAATACAAAGGCAAGCTTATTTTAACAAGTGATGAAAATTGTTCAGAAAAAATGGAAGAAAGGACAGAAAAGACCTGCTGGAAGAGGTGTAATAGTTGCAATTTTAGAAATGTGGACAGGAATGGTCCATTTTCACTTATTCAGGAGACTTAAAATGTAATTAACGAACAAAGTGCTTGTCAATGGCATAATGCTTGAAATTTTTAAAAAAGAATTTTATGTACCTTTTTCTTCTTAAATTTTATTACAGGTGTTTGAGGCACACAGTTTCAATACAACCTAGTTTCAGAGGTAGCCACAAGGAATCTGGGATCCAGTTGGATAAAATGCCAAATTGGCAAATGCACTTACCCATTTCTTGTCTGGTGCTGGCTACACCTGTACCATAGGTTTCTAAAACATCTTTTACTGTCCTCATAGACTCATCCCAACTGTTGGTAAGTCCAAGGAAGTTATAGGAGCCTATGTTGATGACATCTTTGATGACTTTTCCAGTAAATCTGCAGGGAGACACATAGGCACAAAGGGCAGTCTTATTTCATATCATCCCAGTGTTGAGAAGACCTCAGTCAGGCCCGCATTATATATTTTCTTTTTCATTTTAACTTGCTCTGTTTTCAGTATATAATGGTTTGTTCTTAGAGGAAAGTGACTCCACAACGAATGGGGCAGAGCATTGGAGAAAAGTATCCTGAACTGTAGTGTTTGCCTGAGCCCTGATGATCCTCAGGTAATTGCTTTCATGACACCCTTGTTATGGAGTAAAGTCCAGTAACAGGCAAGAGCCATAGTCATAATTGGCTCTACTGGGAGAAGTAGAAGGAGACAATTGGACAATTCTCCAAGGCTGGTTCTGTGTGTGCTGCACCTCTGACACAGGTCTCACCTTAGTTGGAGCATATACAAACCACCTTGGCAACTTAGTTACTGTGACTTCCTCTACTGGCATGGTGAGGACCAGCTGATTCCATGCTCAGCTCTTTCAGATTTGTAATCTGTTGTCCCTTGCCAGCCAGCATTCCATGAAAGGACTTTGTTACCTAGCCCCTCAGGTAGCTCCCTCACCTGAATGTCCAGTTATAGTCATCTGACACCCTTTCCATCACATTGAAAAGAGGCCCCGGGGCACTGCAGATGGACCGGCTCCAGTTGTCTCTGATTCGCATATAAAGGTTCCTTGTATAAAAATTCTCAAAGTCTTGGTACAGTGGCACAAAATGCTGTTATAATAGAATAATAGAGGTAAAAGGTAAAAGATTAGCTTTCTTTTGCAACTGAAGGCTGGAGGAAGACCTGGAAGAGACCTGAAAATAATCCATCTACAGATGCTTTTTGATCAAGAGTCATGGGTGAGTGAGAAATGGAGCCCATGAGCAAACCTGCGAGACTCCATCATTAAAGAGCCCACCCTCACTGGGTACAGTGGCCCATGCCTGTAATCCCAGCACTCTGAGAAGCTGAGGTGGAAAGATCACCAGTTTGAGCCCAGGCAGGGCAATTTAAAGAGACCCTGTCTCAAACTTAAAAAAAAAGAAAAAGGATTGGGGGTGTGGCTCAGTGGGAAGGCCTTGACCTCAAAGCCCCATACTGAATGAAAAGATCCAAACAACAATAACAAACACGTGGTGCTAATAAAGAAGAGTAACAGAGATAACAGTGCAATACAAGGCAACCTAGAAAAGCAGCAGAGACACTAGAAGTCCCTGCAGTGTTCCCAAGAAGGGAACCATCCAACTCAAGGGCAGCAATAGATGTTGACGTCCAGAACAGTTTAGTTGCAAAAAGAGAAATAAATGATTGAGATGATTGATAATTTGATTTTAACTTTTCGAGCATAACCTCATTTATTGTGTTTTTAGAAGTATGGATGGATTTTAACTGTTTGACCTATTGGCAAAACTGTGGTTGGCAGGTGCCTTGGTATCATGTGGTTGAGGGCCTGATACCGAGCTGACAGGCTGGCACCAGGCTTCCCTTGTGGTAGTGGTGACGACACTGTGTTCCTGTGTACAGTGTAATCCATGACAGGTGCAAGGTGGGGGGACCCGCCATTCAGCTGAGGCTCCTAGAAAGACATTTTATCATTTGACTCCTAATAGCTCATGCTCAGCTGGACATCAGAGAAGTGAAAATTAAAATAACATTGCCATTCAAGAAATAAAGTAATAACAAATGCTGGTGAGGCGGTGGGTAAAAAGAACCCTTCTATATTATAGGTGGGAATGTAAACTAGTACAACCACAATGGAAGTCAATGTGGAGATTTCTCAAAAAACTAAAACTAGAAATTCCATTTGACCTAAATATGCCCATTCTAGGTATCTTCCCAAAAGAGATAGACATCGTATTTCAGAGATCTATGCATACTTATGTTTTTAGAAGAACAATTTATAATAGCTAGATCTTGGAAGCAGTCTATATGTCCATCAACAGATGAATGGATAAAGAAAATGTATTTATATACAACAAAGACCTACTCTGCCATAAAGAAAGATAAATGTGAATCATTTGTAGGAAAAAGGATGCACCTGTGACCATAATATTAAATGAAATAAATCAGACATTCAAGCTTAATATTGCATGGTTTTCCTTATGTGAGGAACTCAAAATATAAATAGAGAGCAAAACAAAAGATAGTAGGAAGTACAAAAATACTTATTTTTCATAAGGGATGGGGATCTAGAGATGGAGGAAGTGGAGAGGGACAGGAGAGCAAGGGGTTTAAAAAAAGCATAAAGATTCCTTATGTAAATGTGCCAAATTGCCTACGAGGAACATAATCATTATGTACTGCAAGAATGTACTAATAAAAAGTAATAGAAAAAAATGGAGAAAGATGAACTACAGCCTAAGTCACATACTCTGGGTCTTTGTAGTATTAGAACAGGAGAGAGGGTCACAGTTTGTTGGAGGAATCAGAGAAGTTTTGTGTGGCAGGGACCTTGGTGTAGGGCAGAATGAGGCTCTGATGGGCAGGGATGCTTTGGGAGATTTGAGGATACTAGGGTGAATGGCTTTGTACCCTGAAAATGTGGAATGTGAGAAGAATATGCATACAGTATCAGACACATTGTCATTCTTGCTTAGAAATTACATGGGCTCCCACCTCAGCCCAAGTCAAAGCCAAGGTCCTGATTCATTTGGCTTCCATGATGTTTCTTCTCACATCTTCTAATTACACCCTGGAGCAGGGATGGGGCTGTAATGTCACCGGCACAGAGAGAGCAGGAGCCTTAACAGTCTGCACAAGGAAGTCAGACTTCATTCTGCGGGCAGTGGGGAGCCACTGAAAATGAAGTGGAGCTGAGCTGCTGAGGAGAGAAGGACCATGAGAATGGCCTTATTCTGTATGGGCTCACTTAGTTCCTGACTTGGTTTGCTCCAGAGCAGAATACAGAGAAGATGCAGGTTTTGATGGCAGAGGACTGCATCTGAGCCCCGGTCCTGTCTGTTCCTTCACTCTTGGATGTTCAGGGACAATGACATGATTTGAGGGGCAGGATATAATTTTCTGTAGGAAAAAAATGTTTGTAACCACATACCAGGGACTATCTATTGCATGTGAATTTGCAACTCTGCTGGTTACATTTGAAAAGATCATACCAAATGCATTTTCTCTAAATAGCTTTATTATTTAAAGCTACAAGTTTACGATAAACAATGTTATGATACTTTCATATTCTTGCTGGAAAAAATATTTTGAGATATTTTGTCTAGTTTTGGATAATTTATTTCCAAATTATTTTTTTGTTTCAATAACTATGTAAGCCTTTTTACTACTTTGTGGGTTGGGGATTACTCTGTTTTCAAATGTTAATTGTGTTCTTTTCTTTATTTAAAGCCTTATTTTAAATGATATAATAGATATATAGCTTATCAAGATTAAAGGGAAGTAGGTCTGTAGATATTATTTGTGGGCTTTAAGTAGAATTGTAATTCTGTTTTCTAAGAGGAGTTTCACTCAAAATAAAGTAACAATTGGTTTTGGAGAGAAGGCAAAAAGAAGCAAAATGTTCTGTTTATAAAAAATTAAAATAAAATTAATTTCATATTTTAACAAGATGTACAAAGGACAGAGGAGACATCAGTCATAGAGCTCGAATATGTGTTCAACACATGAGGAAAAGCAGGCCTAGGAAAGTGAACAACTTGAGTTCTGGTCAGTCTCTGCCTCCATGCTCTCTCTCAGCGACTTCTGGGAGACCTCAAGTTTATGCATCTTCCCTCTAAAACACCAGTGATAGCATGAATCCTGGCTTACAATGTGGTAAGCTGTGACTAATAGGTTGCCAGACTATAGGTGTGTCTAGTAGTTATAAGCAACTTGGCACTGAGTTGAAAGAATGTGTGTGACTTCTTTATCTCCTGTTTCCTGAAGATGCATCACCACAGCCACCGGCGAAAGGGTGGGAAAACATTTCTTCTTGTCTAAACTTTCTGATTCCTCCCCACTCAGAGATTCTGACCTGACTGGGTATCTACTGTGGAACTGAGATGTTACTTTTTATTTTATTTTTTATTTTTTGGTACCAGGGATCAAACTTGGGACCTTGTACTTGCGTGGCAGATGGTGGAACCACTGAACTAAATCCCCAGCGGGAAGTTACTTCTTTATTGAGGTAAATATTGAGCAATGATTCCTACCTATTCTGTGAGTTCAGGAAAGACTTCCTGCTGGAAATGATCTTCATATTGAATAGCAGTGTTGTGAATTAGGTACTTATACATACCTTGCAGAAAAGGAAGAGCCAATTTTTTTTAAACCATTCAGAAGTATGACTTTTGCATGATATAAATTCTAAAGGCCCAATATACAAGTTTGGTAGCCTAAATATTTCACAGTGGAGCTTGGAAAACCTTAGAACTGAAGTTCTAGTCCGGGAAGGGATTAACTTGCTTTTGGACATGGTCCTATTCTCCTCATGTGTGTGGCTACCTGCTTCTGTGTGGGTGTGTTTTCACTCCACCCCATCCCTTTGAGTAGCAGATTGCTTTCTTCAGGAGTAACCAACACCTCCTAAAGGTCATTGTCCTCTAGTCTCAGACAAGCTTCCCATAGCAATTTAACTACACTATAGAATGAAGCTAGACTTGATATTTCAAAAACATAAGCATTGCAATAGGGCAGATTTTTTTTCTATCTGTATACTTGATTTGTCACTTGGCTTCCTCGCTATTTTTTTCCTGGCACAAATGGCTAAATATGACATAGAGGTTCATACCATCAAGACACAATCATTTTTGGGGATAGGAATGATAATTTATAATTGTCTAAATGTTATGGATATTTCTTTATAAGATTTTTAGCTAAGTTAAAACTTTACTACATAAATTGGGGACTGTACCAATTCCAAAATCAGTTCTCTTTTTAAAAACCCTGCTACAGAGCTTGTTATTTATTAGGAAATGAAAAGAAAATATCCATGGCCAGTTGTAAAAAGTATTTCCGTATTTGGAAGAATTACCCTACTTATTTGATTTAACTACATGCCTGTTTAATAGCAAATAGAAGCATAGCTTTATAGAGAGAGAAACGAGTCATTATTGCACACCAGTTATCCATGTGTCTACATGGACACTTCTGTGCTCATCTGATATTTCATTTGATATTATTATTTATTTTTAGAAAATAGCTGTTTCTTTTACTATGCAGCTCAGAATAATAAAATAGCCTTGTACTTTTCTTTTGTTCATAAGGGTGACCGTGTTTAAAATAGTTATTTGAAGTAGGAGAAACTCAAAGGAAGGCTGGCTAAACTTAATTTTTAAGAGATTAGAGCATGTAACAGGCCAGATTTTAGGTATTCTTTCTGCACAGGCTTATTTGTTAAAGGATCGGTCTCACCCTGCAGGGCTTTTGGGAGGTTGCAGACCCTTCAGGAGGCTGGGTCTGGTGGAAGGAAGTAGGTCACTGGGGGAGCATCCTTGAAGGTGATATTGAAGCCCTAGTACCTGACTCACTCTCTCTCCATCCCTATACATTGGGAAGTACATGGCAGCTTTGCTCTGTCATGCACTTCTTGCCATGCTGTTGTGTCACTACAGGCCTAAAGTGACGGGGCCAAGTGACCATGGACTGAAACCTCTGAAACAGAGCTGGAAAGCCTTTTATTCATTTAAATTATTTTTTCTTATGTATTTTGTCACAGTAATGAAAAGCTGACCCACACAGATAAAGATTGAATGAAGGCATTAGACTTGGTAATTATGTTTTCTAGCAC